GTACCACCTTCCATGTACCACCTGCCATGTACCACCTGCAATGTACCACCTGCCATATACCACCTTCCATGTACCACCGTCCATGTACCACCTTCCATGTACCACCTGCCATGTACCACCTGCCATGTACCACCTTCCACGTACCATCTGCCATGTACCACCTGCCATGTACCATCTTCCACGTACCACCGTCCATGTACCACCTTCCATGTACCACCTGCCATGTACCACCTGCCATGTACCACCTGCCATGTACCACCTGCTATGTACCACCTTCCATGTACCACCTGCCATGGACCACCTTCCATGTACCACCTTCCATGTACCACCTGCCATGTACCACCTGCCATGTACCATCTTCCATGTACCACCGTCCATGTACCACCTTCCATGTACCACCTGCCATGTACCACCTGCCATGTACCACCTTCCATGTACCACCTGCCATGTACCACCTTCCATGTACCACCTTCCATGTACCACCTGCCATGTACCACCTTCCATGTACCACCCTCCATTTACCACCCTCCATTTACCACCTTCCATGTATCACCTGCCATGTACCACCTTCCATGTATCACCTGCCATGTACCACCTGCCATGTACCACCGTCCATGTACCACCTTCCATGTACCACCGTCCATGTACCACCTTCCATGTACCACCTGCCATGTACCACCTTCCATGTACCACCTGCCATGTACCACCTGCCATGTACCACCTTCCACGTACCACCTGCCATGTACCACCTGCCATGAACCACCTTCCATGTACCACCTGCCATGTACCACCTTCCACGTACCACCTGCCATGTACCACCTGCCATGTACCACCTGCCATGTACCATCTTCCATGTACCACCTGCCATGTACCACCTCCACCGGACCCTCTCTGACAACCAACAGCAGGCGAATAGTGAATAGTGTAGTGTCTTGCCCAAGGACACAACGACTTAGATGAAGGGGGATTGAACCGGTGATCTACCAGTTCCAGGACGACTCTGTCACTGAAGTTTAGACTTTGTGCAGGTAGATGAGAAGCTAGTTTTTTCCAATAATCTTATAATTAGGGACGGCTGTGGCAGAATGGTTAGGGGAGTCGTCCTGGAACCTGAAGGTTACCGGTTTGATCCCCTCTTCATCTAAGTTGTTGTGTCCTTGGGCAAGACACTTCACTCCTAATGCCTCTGATGTGTCCCATTGGTGTATGAATGTGATTGGCACTGATTAGTCT